TGAGGGCTCTGTGTCGGAGGCAGAGTGGGGGCCAGAGCCGTATGCCAGTTATCAGCTGCCTTCAGAGTCAGACATCAGTGAAGCAGAAGAACAGCTGGCGCCTGTTCCCAGTGTGCGCATGCACAGAGTTGCCAGACGAAGGGAACAGCTAAGGAACAGCGGTCAACTTGGGAGTAAGGCCACGGTGGGCGATGAATGACCCCTCCCACAGGAAATAAAAGAGGAGCAACAGGGGAGTGGAGTTTGCAGGAGACAATTAGTTCGCTTAATTGATTCGTGACTCTCTGAGACTCCTTGCCAAGTTCTGCAGATATCAGCCTGGCAGCTCTCCAAGCCAGATAAGGTCTGTGACTGTAAATCCTCCGTTGAAAGACTTTGCTGGGTATGAATGAGCAGATTTTACAATAAATTAATAAAAGGAGTTTTTATTGGGACAAGGAGTTTGCTTCATGCTCTTGGGAAGCCTCGGTCAGAATAGGATAAAAATAATGGGTTTTCTATTCTCGTTAGCTATTTAGATTGATACCATTGCAGAGATACATAGATAGCCATTGGGATTGGGCACCTATGGGGATTAATGTTTAACTCATTTGAATTGCTTTATTTATTCTTACTGTATTTCATTGTTTTTGCACTATAAACTGCATATTATGGTTGTGGTCTGGAAGAGTTAGAAATGAAAGACAAAAAGAAACATTCTAAGTAACAGCCATAAAAAAACCCAACTGTCAAAATGGAGAAAAATAGTTTGAAAGATGGGAGTAATTTGAAACAGTTGTGAACTATTGCTCAAGAATCTCCAGGTGGCCTAAATTAATCTTATAAATATTACCATTTAGCCCATTGCTAATGAGTTCCCAGGAAGGGTGGCAAGAATCCCACGTGACGATGTCGAAAGTATATGTTGATTATTTTATCTTGTGAATTGCAGGATTCAAAAAGCTAAACGACGTTAAGAACTTGGTGGTCTCTAGTCATGGTTTTCTCCTTGCAAACGTTTGATTAGCAAACTGCCTTTGCTATGAACCCTGTCTATAAATTAATTCAACTAAACTTCAAGTAAACAAAAGTCCGAGTGACGCGGTGGCTCAGTGGCTAAGATTTTGAGCTTGGCGATCAGAAAGGTCGGCAGTTTGAATCCCTAGTGCCATGTAACGGAGTGAGCTCCCTTGACTTGTCCCAGCTTCTGCCAACCTAGCAGTTCGAAAGCATGTAAAAATGCAAATAGAAAAAACAAGAACCACCTTTGGTGGGAAGGTAACAGCGTTCCGTGCACCTTTGGCATTTAGTCATGCCAGCCACATGACTACGGAGACGTCTTCGGACAGCGCTGGTTCATCGGCTTTGAAATGGAGATGCGCACCACCCCCTAGAGTTGGGAACGACTAGCACATATGTGCGAGGGAAACCTTTACCTTTACCTTAAACAAAAGCCAAAGAGGGAGGCAAATAGCCTGAGGCCCATCTTTCTTATAGCAATAGCAGTTCGACTTATATACCGCTTCATAAGGCTTTCAGCCCTCTCTAAGCGGTTTACAGAGTCAGCATATCGCCCCCACAGTCTGGG